TCCTCAAGGCGGGAGAAGTGCAAGTTCGAGGTGGAAGAAACCGAATACCTCGGAGTCATAATTAGTGAAGGAAAGATTTGTATGGACCCGGTCAAAATTGCAGGCCTCCTGGATTGGCTGACCCCCCGGAGGAAGCAAGAACTACAGTCGTTCCTCGGGTTCTGCAACTTTTACCGACGGTTTATCCGAGACTATAGCAAGCACGTCAAACCGTTGACGTCCCTCACCGGCAAGCAGGAGTGGAACTGGGGAGACTCTCAGCAGAAGGCGTTCGAGAAGCTCAAAGAGTTGTTCCGGGAGGAGGTGGTGCTCGCAATTCCATTGGACGAAGGGCGGTTTAGGGTGGAGGCGGACTCCAGTGAAGGAGCGATAGGGGCGGTGCTATCCCAATGGCAGGAGGAAAAGTGGAGACCGGTGGCCTTCCTGTCCAAAGCCTTGTCCGCGACCGAGCGAAACTATGAGATCTACGACAAGGAGCTTCTGGCCATAATGATCGCACTCGAAGAATGGCGCCAGTACCTTATGGGAGCCCGGGAGGACTTCGAGATTTGGACCGATCATTCCAATCTCCAATACTTCCGAAAGCCCCAGAAGCTTAACAGACGACAGGCCCGGTGGGTAACGGAGTTGGCTGAATACCAATTTACCTTACACCACAAACCCGGGGCCCAAAATCGCAAGGCGGATCTGTTATCAAGAAGAGCGGATCACGATCAGGGAAAAGAAGACAACCGCGACGTCGTAGTCCTCAAAGCGGAACACTTCCGGGCCCTAATCATGCCCTCCGCCGAGGAGCTCCACGAGCGGATCAAGGTAGCAACGCACAACCCCCGTCACTGGGATCGAGGGATCTCTGACTCCCTAAATCACGAAAAAGGGGTTTCCCGCGACCAAGACCTGTTGTGGTATGATGGACGGATCTATGTACCGGTAGACCGTGACCTCCGCGGGCAGCTCATAGCTCTCAAACATGACCATGTCACTGCCGGGCATCCAGGAATCAAAAAAACGAAGGAGCTGATATTACGCGACTACTGGTGGCCCCGGATGCGCCGAGATGTGGAAGCCTACGTAAAAGGTTGCGACGTCTGCCAACGAACAAAAGCAGATCGACGACCGAAGAAGGCCCCGCTTCATCCTAACGAAATTCCAGTACGACCGTGGACCCATATTTTGGTCGATATGATCACTAAACTCCCAGGCTCTAAAGGATTCGACTCCATCCTGGTCATCGTGGACCGTTTCTCCAAAGCCATTATCCCCATCGCGTGTACCGAAGAACTCACTTCCCTAGGCTTCGCCAAGATCCTGAGGGACTACATCTACGTACCCTACGGCGTGATGCCCGAAAAAGTAATCTCTGATCGGGGATCGGTATTCATCTCCAAATTCATGAAAGAATTTTATCGACTTCTTCATGTTGAGGGTAACCCCTCTACTGCTTATCACCCCCAGACGGACGGGCAGACCGAAAGGGTCAATCAAGAGATCAAGAAGTATCTTAAGATGTTCGTCAATGATCGACAAGACGATTGGAGCGAATGGTTGCCATTGGCCGCATTTACGCATAATAATCGCCAACATTCGGTGACGGGATACTCTCCCTACTGAGTACTCTTCGGGAGGGATGGAGAGGTTATTAAAAACCCTCGAAAGACGACCACGGTTCCAGCAGCAGGGAAACTGGTGGAAGAAAATAGAGAAGGCACAGAGCGAAGCGAAAAGGTCTTTGGAAAAGGCAGCGGAGTTGATGAAAAAAGCTTATGATAAGCACAAAAACACCGCCGTTCAGTATGAAGTAGGAGATAAGGTATGGCTGGATACGACGAATCTTCACCTCCCTCGCCCTACAAAAAAGCTCGGAGACCGTCGGGTAGGGCCCTTTATGATTACCATGAAAAAGGGGGCTTCAGCATACGAGCTAAAGCTACCCAAAGGCTGGAAGATTCATAACCGCTTCAACGAATCTCTCCTTATCCCTTATGTCGCCCCAGTCTTTCCGAACCAACCTCGTCCCGAGAGACCACCCCCGGAATTAATTGACGATGAGGAAGAATACGAAATTGAGGAGATTGTGGAACAGCGCGACAAAGTCATCGGTCGTGGGCGCACCCGTCGTACAATAACGGAATACTTGGTAAAATGGAAGGGATATCCAATGGAAGAGAACTCCTGGGTAAAACGCTCGAATATGGCTAACGCCGAGGAGTTGGTAACCGAGTACGAATCCCGAATCCAAAGGATCCAGTGGGAAATCGGCAAGCACGGAAAGGCGGTCGGGGTGGAAACTAAGACACCTCCTGGCGCCAAAACAGCGGATGATGAACCCGATACTCCATGCCTTACAGACGTCGAGACCGTTGACTCGGAAGCCCAACAGGACTCTAATCGCTCTTCCTCATCTATACCCTCGGTAACCTCGAACGAAGCAAATGGGATACCCACCGTCGGGGTTGACGACGAATCAGAAATCAACTTGGAAAGTCTACAACGAATCCATGAAGACTGGGACTTCGGTAGCGAACAGGGGGATACTGGGGAGGATGACAGCAATTCAACTTCCTACGACACCGAATCTGCGACACAGGAGGAGAGTTCAAGCTCATTCGGGACGAACGAGTCTTGAGGGGGGGGTAATGTTACGGTTTATTCATTTTTCTTCGTTTTACTCAGCCAGATTACTCATATGCGATCGCAACAGACAGTTTCTCACAGTACTATTATTAGCGTACTCAAGTGTATTTAAGTAGAGCCTCAGCTGGTCTAAACTCCAGCTTCAGCTAAGGTTTAACCTACCTAACATCGAACTCCGTGTTTCACGACTATCTAAGTTCGCTCCTGACTCCGTTCATCGCCTTTGACCCCCAAGTGTATCGTCTACTGAAGTGCGAGTAGCGATCCTTGGTTGATCTAAGTCGATAAGAGTTAGTGGCTAACAGTGAGCGGCATAAAGTTCATTGTACCACAATGAATGTTTATGATCTCGGGGTATGGTGGGTGCCATTTTAAATAATGGGCTGAAGGTTTCCTTTCTTTGGAAGTATAACAGTGACTGCCTTGAAGCAATACAGTTACCATTTCAACAATGGTAAGGGTAGTAAGGGCAAGCTTCAGCTAATTGTTATGCACTCACTCTAATCTGTGCCAAGGCTGGTCTCTATCCTGTCACTCGCATTTGGTGATTCAGTGTTAGAGAGGCATTGGTAGATTGCGAGAAGTTAGGCATCACTTATAGTGAAAGCAAGGAGCTTGTAAGAGTTAGGAGTATATAACCTTAGCCAAAGCTGGGGCTTAAGGCCACAGTGTAGGCTAGCTTAAATACATGTTAGACTCGTACTAAGAATAGTATCTATAAGGGCGCATGCAGGAAGAAGTGCATTTGCTAATGAATGAGGAGGGAGGACACTGAAAGAAGTGTGCTCCTGACTAATGAGAGTAAAGAGCGCATATCACCTGCATCTGTGTGGGACTCCATCTGAATAGGCTGCATCCCATAGACTGCCCTCGACCAGCAGTTGACTTGGGCCCAACCACTAAGAAGCATGATGCCATCAAGAGAAGCATGATGATGCATGCGGGTCATCGGTCATCTGGGGTGTGGCAGCTGGGAATTGGGGTGATGGCAACCAGGTAATCGGGTAGGAGGTGTGCTGGTGGAATATCATGGGTCTGAGAGATAAGATAGGTAGGTCTGGGGTTCTGGATGATAAGGATAAGATAAGATAAGGAAAATAGGGGTAAAGTCATAATAGAGATGGGTGCAAGAAGTGAGAATTGATTAAGAAAAATGCCATGCAACTACCATATGTACGTATTTACTGGCACCATCCTCATGTGGAAGTGCCAGCCTGACAGGATACCTCAACAGTAGCAACAGAAACTAATTGGCTGTTAGTTAGTTCAGTTCTGAAACTGGTAGCTGCAGGCCAACACTCACCTTGGAAATCTAAATGCACTCTGCTCTGCAAATTCTATGTGAGTTAACCCAACCAGGAGACCTAGAGGTAAAGAAAACAATGTGAACATTGTGTCATATATCGTCCGTCACGAAAATTCAGGGCTTGAGGCCATCTGGAGCATGAAGATCAGCCAAGGTACAAACTAGGAACACATACCATAGATTTGTGCAGCTAACAAGACTCTAAATTTGAGGTCATAAGCATAAGAACATACAATGAGAAGGAATAAAACTTACCGTGGTGGTGGGAGGAAGGAAGTGTGCACCATATGGTTGATCAATGTTGTTGATCTCGATATGGGCATCAACGCCTATAGCTTCACCCTGTATTATTAACCATCAAGGACAAATGGGAGGCAGTAGGGTGTGCTGATGTCATGCTAGATGGCATGGAGGAGAAAAGAGGGTAGGAGGAAGGAAAGGGCAGGAGATGAGAGGTTGAGTTGATGGAGATAAGGGAATAAGAGGGACACATTTTGACAGGCTGTCAGCAGGACTCTCTGATAAATTTACCAAGAGAAACCAGCAAGATCACAGGGGTAGAGATGCGATAATGGAATACATTGGTGGCCAGCATACCTTTCAAAATCGCTGAACTTCAAATATCTTGATAGCACTATCAACATCTGACATCTGCTTCATTATTCTCTCTTTGTGTTCTCTCCAGGTCCTTTCCACTTGAAACTCCATGCTGTTTCAGATCGGATTCCTTGGATATAAAAGCCAGGTCGATTTTAGGATCGAACTCCAGCTCCCTGCTTTATTCCCACTTTACCCCTTCATCCTCCCCTCCTCTTTTGACCACTACTTCCTCACTCTCGACTCTGCTACTAAGTACCTAGTATGCTCTCGCTGAGTGCATGGGCCAGACTGTGTACCCTACCCCGGACTACCACCACCACCACTGCTGCCACCATTTACTATAGTCTCACTCTAATTCTTCCAAACATTACTCTCCTTGTCAATTTACCTTATTTATCACCTTCTAATACTTGATTTTCACTCTCAAGAATCTGAAACCAACCCTGCACTTTTTGCAACAATGTCTCACCCACTGCCTCCCTTTGAAAACCCCAGCCTCGACCACCTCCCTCACCCTCATACTCCTCCTGGAGAGCTCAAACCCCCTTCTACTGTGTTTGTAGGTTTGGAGCTCGCTGTGTCTGGACTGGATTGGTCCTCAAAGTCATCTGCTCAGACTGACTTTGTGGCCATGTACCCTCACATTGTCCAACACGCTTGCCTCACCTCACCCCAAACCTACATGCCTTTACCCTCTGATCTTAAAGTTGTCTCAGGAAATGCTCGACAGGCAGTTGATTATGTTTTCATATCCCTATCCCCATCGCTCTCCGCCACTCCTCACCTCGACATTCTATATGGCATCAGGTGTGCTATCATTGCTCATGGCAGGCTCAAAGCCAACTGGAAGGTTACAAGTGGGTATGACCGAACTCAAAGGGGCTTCTTCAACATGGACAGTGCCAATGATGCTGAGAATATGAAGGACCAGCTCGCTGCTGCTCTGAACAGCAGGGGATTGCTCTTTCAGTTTCATACCATCACACCCCTCATGAACTCTATCCGTGTTGCATTTGACTTTCTCGATCCTGCATCCATTGAAAACCTGGAATCCAACCCAATAGTTATCAATCATCATGTCTTTCTCATTTTCCAGCCTTGTTTCATTGTGCTGGAATTTGGATATGACATTGCTATCACTGGTTGTGGTGGAATTCAGGGTTTTCAGGGTGGGATGGATGCAGTCATTCATGACACTATTGGTCCTCACTTGATTATCTGGAGCAGGATGGAACTGAATGGTGACACTTACATCGTCATCATGGATAGCTTTGACACCACCATTCGCCTGCTCAACACCGACCTGCCTCTGCCTTGGGGCATGCCTCCCTATGTCACCATTTTGAAACCCATGTATCTCTTCTTCTTTAACCTGCATGGATGTCCTGCCTCTCCTACTTATCTTCATAGTGAAAACTCGGCCACAGCCTCTGCCAATCTTCAAAACCTGCAACAGCAGATTGATCTACTCTGCGAAAACAGTGTACAAACCGTTCAATCCATTCAGAATGTCTTCAACATCCAGAACCAGTCTCTTATGAATATTAACATCTCTGTCAATGCTCTTCAAAATGTGTTTGCAATGTCTGTTGCCTCTCAAACTGGTCTACATCACTTGACTATAGCAGACAATGAGCTCACTCATCTTCACACTGAACAGTCCTCTAAGGAGCTTTTCTTGCTCATGACTCCTAATGATGATGTCAAGGCATAGGCCAATAATCAGATTGCTGTGCTTGACAGGGCCATTCAACTTCAAGACAAATTACGAGGTGAAGCTAATGTCTACTATACATCACTGACTGACAGGATGGTGACCTTCTCATTGACGCCTTCCACTGATGGGCCCCCACTTCCTCCCCATCAACACCCTGAAGGCGAGGAGGACAACCACCCCCATCAACGTCATCGTCTCGACACTGTCCATGAAAATAACACACCCCAAATGGATCAATCTGTGAGCATTCCTCCTTTCCTTCATGTTTCTTCTTGTAACCTTGCTTCATCTCCTCTCACTATCAGTGAACCATTCAATCACCTTCAAAAATGTTCTGCTGATCTGGGCGAGATATGGGAGTCAATATACATCTTTCTTCTCCTTCTATGAAAAATCATTATTCTATCCCTGTTCTTTTCCATCTCCTTCTTTTCTTCTGTTTCTTCTCTTCTGTATCTGCAAATATGTCTCAGTCCTTTCAGACTGTCTCTGTAAATGCGAATGGTTTTGCCAATGTTATGAAACATTCTGCTTTTTCTAACATTGTGTCAGCCCACTGTCTGCATGCCTGGTTGATTGCTGAGACCAAGTCTCAATCCTCTGTGCACTTGTGCATCAACATACCAGACTATAAGGTATTTGAATCTCCTGGTGTTAAAGCTGACAGAACCACCTCCAAATGGGGTGTTGCGTTAGGTGTTACTGCATCATTGCATTCACAAATGGTCCTGCTGCCACCCCAACTGGCCGGAAGAGCTGTATGCATTGATGTCATTATCCCCTCAGACTCTGGTAGGGGCTTTCCCCATCACCTCGTGGGGGTATATGCTCCATACAATCCAGGGGGAGCTCCAAACCTGCATGACACTCTTCATGACTTTTGGGACCACATTTACCACCTATGTGCAACTGCTCAACACTCCTGGCAAGTCATAGGTGACTTTAATGCTACTCTTATGTCATCTGAGGTAATGGGTGAAGCGACTGGTAATAATCATGCATGCACTGCATACTGTCACTTCTTACAGCAGTCTCATGGGATTGATACATGTGAAATCCAGAATGATAACGATGCTCATCATGTGTTCACCCTCAATGCCTACAATGGCTCCTGTTGGTCCATCATTGACCATTGTGTGCACTCTGCCCATGGTATTGATATCTCAGTCATCTCCACTCCTCAGTCTTTTATGCCTGGAACTGATCATCAGCTGATATCTTCAGCAATTGTCTGCTCACCCCCAGCTGCCCTCAATGCTTCATCATCCTTGTCATCTGCATGTCCTCAAGATCAGTCCCCATATCCTCCCTGCTTCATTGTCCCTAAATGACATGAGTCTCACCGATTTAAAACATTTGCTGACCATGTTGACCTTCTTGCACGGGAAGCAAAACTCAATGAACAACCAATCACCAATGACTCCAATTATCTCTTCCAGTGGCAGGCACTAACAGATATATTCCTCACTGCTGGACTCGAAGCTTTTGACATGCCCAAGGCTCACCACTCATCAAACCAAAAGATAATCAACCCCACAATCAGCCTTATCCTTCGCAAGTACTCTCAATTGAACAGGTTTATCTCTGCATTGAAAAGGAGGTTGCTGCTTCAGTTGTGCACTCGAAACCCTTGGACAGCAACTTATCTTCAGGCACTCTCCGGTCATCCTTTTCTTCATCCACTCTTGTCTCTGCCATCTCTCTTCTACTCACCATCTTCTCTTCTCTTTTTCAGGAAAGCACATTCTTCCCTTTCTAAGCTTTGATATAAAGCTGAAAGAGATGAATGACACTTGCACTCTACTGCCTATGATAAGAGCCGTCTTAACAGATGCCTTTTTGGTGGTTCTGCAAAGTGTCTTTATCCTCCTTCTAACTTTCAAGGACCCCCTCCTGCCATTTCAGTTCCTAATACTGATTACCCCTCTTCTCGAACCTATCTCACAAGTGCCCATGATATAAAATCGAAAACGATGGCCTATTTCTCTTCACTCTATGGCAGAAACACTTGACCAGATCTGCCGAAGCCTTGGTTGGACTGTCCTTCTGTTCGTTTTATCAGAGACAAGACCAAACTCACCCCATTTAAATGGCCCCAACAAATTGACATCCTTTCTGGTCACTCCCTCATTCATAAAGATAATCTATGTCCAGCTCCTGGTCCTGATCAATAGGAGAAATGGATGGTGAAGAGTCTTCATGACTTTTCTTTTCAACTTGTTTTTGTTAAGCACTAACTCTAATCTGGACCAAGGCTGATCTCTATCCTGTCACTCGCATTTGGTGATTCAGTGTTAGAGAGGCATTGGTAGATTGCAAGAAGTTAGGCATCACTTTATAGCGAAAGCAGGGAGCTTGTAAGAGTTAGGAGTATATAACCTTAGCCAAAGCTGGGGTCTAAGGCCACAGCGTAGGCTAGCTTAAATACATGTTAGACTCGTACTAAGAATAGTGTCTACAAGGGCACATGCAATGAGAAGTGCGTCTTTCAACGAATGAGGAGTGAGGACACTAAAAGAAGTGTACTCCCAACGAATGAGAGTAAAGAGCGCATATCACCTGCATCTGCATGGGACTCTGTCTGAATAGGCTGCATCCCGCAGACCGCCCTCGACTGGTGGTCGACTCTCATCCAACTACTAAGAAGCATGATGCCATCAAGAGAAGCATGATGGTGCATGCGAGTCATTGGTCATCTGGGGTGCAGCAGCTGTGAACTGGGGTGATGGCAACTGGGTAAACGGGTAAGGAGTATGCCAGCAGAATATCATGGGTCTGAGAGATAAGATAGGCAGGTCCGGGGTTCCAAGGGATAAAGATAAGATAAGATAAGAAAAAATAGGGGTAAAGTCATAATAATACCCCCTGACTAAGACTGTCGTCCTGACAGTCCTTTAGTCGTACTCACTCCCTGAATCGAGGGAGTTAGTAGATTCCATATCCCATTTATAATCCTCATTTTGCTCCCAGGCAGACATGCCCTGTTCTTTGAGGGGGAAACTAGGGTCGGTTTGAGTCGTTAGGGGAGATCTGGAACATTCATCTTCGAAGACGTCTTCATCTGTGTCTGATGAATAAAAGTCCTGCTCGTTGGAGAATAATGAATCGGTATTATTCCTGTTTGCGACTGGGAAGAGTGTTGAGCTCTCAGTGGTTGAAGAGCCAGGAGATGATATGGTTATACATCCTCCTTCATTTTCCAAGTGTCGCAAATCATGATCCTGTACACGGTCTTCCTTGTTCTCATATTGTTTGACGAGTTCTTCGGCATTGGCGAGATTGCTCCTCTTGACCCAAGTAGCTTCCTCCACTGGGTATCCTTTCCATGTGACCAAATATTCTGTTATGATCCTCCAGCTGTGTCCTCGGCCGATGATACAGTTGTGGTCCTGAAGTAGTTCTTCTACTTCGTATTCTTCTTCACCTTCCACGAGTTCTGGTTCGGGTGGCAGAGGTTTTTCCTGGTTGGAAAACTCTGGGGGGACATACGGAGTTAGGTATCGTTCGTTGAACTTGTTGTGGATCTTCCATCCTGGTGGTAGCTTTAGTTCATATGCAGAGGGCCCCTTTTTAGAAATAATCTCGAAGGGGCTGACACGTTTGTCACCTAGCTTTTTTGCCGGTCGGGGGAGGTGAAGGTTGGTTGAGTCCAACCAGACTTTATCTCCTGGTTGGTACTCCTGTGCAGGGCGAGTGTGTTTGTCATAAGCCTTTCTCATAACTCCGGCAGCTTTATTCAAAGAGTCTTCTGCTTGCTTGCATACTCTCTGGAGGCTTTCAACGAAGTCAGTTACCGATGGTGTTTCCGACTGCCTCACCACGGTTGGGCGAATTTCCCCATCTTGTCCGAAGACGATTTTGATGGGGGAAAAGCCCATTGCAGAGTGTTGGCAGTTGTTGTGAGCAAATGCTGCCTACTGCAGCCATTCGCTCCAGTCATCCTGTTTGTGGTTAACGAAGACTCAAGGGTATTTTTCGAGTTCTTGGTTAACCCGTTCTGTTTGCCCATCTGTCTGAGGGTGATAGGCCATTGATGGATTTCCTTGAATATTCATCATGGCGTATAGTTCAGTGATGAACTTCAACATGAATTGAGGTCCACGGTCAGAGATGACCTTGGAGGGAGTAACTCCAAATCGGCAAATGATCTCGTCGCATAGGATTTTGGCCCATCTGCTCAAGGAGAGTTCTTTCATGCAAGGAATCAGCATGATGTATTTCAAGAACCGGTCTACGACGACTAGTACCACGTCATAGCCTTTGGATTCTGGAAATCCAGTGATCATGTCAACCGAGATGTGTTCCCAAGGTCGGAATGGTACAGCGTTAGGATGTAGCAGGGCTGCTTTCTGCTGCATATCAGTTTTCGTCCTTTGACACGCCTCGCATCCTCATACATAAGTTTCCACGTCCCTTCACATTTTGGGCCACCAGTAGTCCCTTAAGACCAATTCCTTGGTCTTTTCGATGCCTGGGTGCCCCATGGAGACATGATCGTGGTGATGGGAGATAAGTTCTCCTCGTAGGGTGTGGTCGTGGGGGACGTAGATACGTCCATCATAGAATAGAAGGTGGTCTTTCTCAAGGACCCCCTTCTCATGGTTGAGGCTTGAAGCAATCCCTCGGTCCCACTGTTGGTGATTGCTTGTTGCCCTTCTGATTTTGTTATGAATTTCTTCCTCGGTTGGCATTATTAGAGCATGGAAGAATTCCGGTTTCAAGAGGACAACATCATCATTGTCCTTCTTGCCTTGGTCATGGTCAGCCCATCGACTTAGAAGGTCGGCTTTCCTATTGGATGCTCCCGGTTTGTGGTTGAGCGTGAAGTGGTATTCCGCTAATTCAGTAAACCACCGTGCTTGTCTGTGGTTGAGTTTCTGGGGTTTGCGGAAGTATTGCAGATTTGAGTGATCCGTCCAGATTTCAAAATCTTGATGGGCACCCATAAGATAATGTCGCCATTCTTCTAAGGCGATCATTATTGCTAGTAATTCCTTGTCGTAAATCTCATAATTCCGTTCCGTTGCGGAAAGAGATTTTGATAGGAATGTGATCGGGCGCCATTTCCCTTCCTGTTCCTGTGACAGGACGGCACCAATTGCCCCTTCACTGGAGTCCACCTCCATGCGAAACTTGTTGTAGTTGTTTGGCATCACCAAAACGACTCCTGTTGCGAATTGACATTTGAGTTCCTCAAATGCCTCTTGTTGTTCCTTTCCCCATGTCCAAGGAATTTTTCCCATGAGTTTCATCATTGGTTTGATGATTGCGCTATAGTGCCAGATAAATCGCTGGTAGAAGTTGGTGAATCCCAGGAATGACTTTAGTTCCTGTTTCTTGGAGGGTGCTGGCCAGTCCGTAATACCAGTGATTTTTACTGGATCCATTTTAATGGATCCTTCACTGATAATGACCCCGAGGTACTCTGTCTCGAGTACTTCGAACTCACACTTTTCTGCCTTTAAGAACAATTTGTTCTTTCACAGAATCTTTAGAACTTCCTGCACAATTCTTTGGTGTTCTGCCTTGTCCTTGGTGAAGATGAGGATGTCATCCAAATAAATGGTGACCTTTCCCTGAGCAATGAGATCTTTAAAGATATCATTCATCATCCACTGGAATGTGGCCGGCGAATTGGTTAATCCAAAGAACATAACCATGGGCTCGTAGAGCCCTCGGTTAGTGTGGAATGCAGCTTTGAACTTGTCCGCTTTCTTGATTTGAATGTTGTTGTATCCCCAACAGACGTCTAGCTTAGTGAAATACCTTGCATCCTTTAGCTTATCCATAAGATCAGAGATAAGCAGTAAAGGATAGCGATTTTTGATGGTTATTTCATTAAGCTTGTGGTAGTCTTGTACTGGCCGTAACTTTCCATCCTTTTTCTTGACGAAGAAAAAGGGAGATGCCATCAGGGACTTGGAGGGTCGAATTCAGCCAGTAGCCAGGTTTCATCAAGGAATTTGTCCAACTCCTCCTGCTCCTTTGGGTTTAAGGGGTATATCTTGCAGTCTAAACTGGCATTGGCATTGGGAGTCAGCTCAATGGCATGGTCCCAAGGTTTGCGAGGGGGGAGTTCATCGAAGTTTTCCTTGGCGAAGACATCAATGAAGTCTTGGTAATGTTCGGGGATGATCTCCTCGAACGACTTTATTCTCTTTCCCTCATTGGCCTTGGCTGCTAAGTCATTGGCTTTATGCCCCACTGCTCATATGTGAAAGGCTTCCTCAAAGTCTATGATGAGGATGGTGTCCCCATCCTCAACTTTGGTTCCCCACTGCTGTTCTGGATCTTCGTCTGGGAGACGGAACGGTATTTTGCGGCAGTCACA